TGCTGCAGGACGGCGCCAATGGCGGTGTCCGATGCATCGACTGCAACGCTGAGTGGAGCCTTCGGGTCGAAATGGTGAAGCATAACGGCTTCGGCCAAGGCCTCTTTGCAGGCTTTGAAGGCTTCGGTTGCAGCGGGCGTCAATTCGACATTGCCGTTCTTGCGTCCACGAAGTAAGTCGGTCAATGGACTGAGCAAGTCGGCACAACGTGGCAGAAATCGACGGTAGTAGTTAATCATCCCACTAAAACGGCGGATGGCGGCCAAAGTAGTCGGAACGGGAAAGTCCTTAATAGCGCTGACTCGGTCTTCGAGCGGCCGTATGCCATGCTGGTCAATTCGATGACCAAGAAATTCGATAGATGGTTGCTGAAAGATGCATTTGTCAGCGTTGACAGTAATGCTATTAGAAGCTAACCTCTCGAAAAGCATCTTGAGGTGCTCCGCGTGCTGTTCTTCGGAAGAACTAGCTACTAAGATGTCGTCTATGTAAGGATAAACAAAGTCGAGACCTCTGGTGACAGAGTCTATGAAGCGTTGAAAAGTTTGAGCTGCGTTACGAAGACCGAAGGGCATTCGCAAGAATTCAAAAAGTCCGAAAGGCGTGATGACTGCGGTTTTCGGAATGTCATCCTCGGCTACAGGGATCTGGTGGTAAGCGCGAACCAGATCGATCTTCGAGAACACACGGGCGCCACGTAGGCTAGCCGTGATGTCCTGAATGTGCGGAATGGGATAGCGGTCGGGGACGGTAGCGTTATTAAGAGCGCGATAGTCGCCACATGGACGCCAGTCTCCTGACTTTTTAGGCACCATGTGTAGAGGCGACGCCCACGGGCTCTTAGACGGGCGAATAATGCCTAAGTCTAGCATGTGCTCGAATTCGGAGCGTGCAATTTTGAGCTTGTCGGGGGTCATGCGCCTGGCTTTTGCGAACACAGGCGGACCTTTCGTAACGATGTGATGTGTCGCGGCGTCGGTTGCGGAAGGCAACGGGACGGCAGGACGGAAGACCTGCGGAAAACTATCGAGCAGCGTTTGCCCGACGGGTGAAGTAAGTTGAGTCGCGTACACGGGACTGATTGACGCGGTGTCGGTCAAAGTCCCAATGACTGCGAGATTCGTAAGACGGTCGACTAGACGGTGTCGCTTAACGTCGACGAGTAGGTCGTAATGACGTAAGAAGTCGAGACCAAGGATAGGCGTTTGAACATCGGCAACGAGGAATATCCATTTGAAAGCGCGTCGGAGGCTGAGATTTAGCGTGCGCGAGCGTTGACCATATACGCGGATGATGGTTCCGTTAGCTGCGCGCAATGAGCTAGTCACCTTTTCGGTCGGGTCATTTGGATCACGCGGGAGAACGCTGACTTCTGCGCCAGTATCGACGAGATAGCGAACTCCGGTTCTACGATCGGTGACGAAGAAAAGGCGACTGCGTTGACCAGCTACGTCCGTCGCCCCTACGTGCTGGTCCGCCCGTTTCCCTGCTGCTGTCGTTTGAAGGAACAGGGCGGGCGACATGATTTAGCTTGCTGGCCGAAGCGTTCGTGGTACCAGCAGTAACCGTTTCTATTCGGTGATCGCGAAGGAGACTTCGAACGTGAACGCGAACGGCTCCTAGAGCATTTACAGCGGTTATGTCTGGAGGCCGAAAAGTCTGCGAATTGTCGAGTCAACGTTGCCATCTGGGATTTAAGCGTAGCGATATCGTTGTCCGGTTTCGTGTGGACCTGCGAAACCTGGCCGTACGACTCCCAAATTCGGTCGGCTGTATCGGCCAGTTTGGGTAAAGGTGCATCCTCACTAGCGCAGAGGATGTGTAGCATCTCGCGCGGAAGTCGTTGCAACCACATTTCCCGAAGAAAAGAATCATCTATCGAAGTGGGTTTAGCTAGGCTCTGCATTTTTCGAAGCAGCTGAGACGGCTTAAGATCGCCAAGATCGGTTTCGTTCAGGAGTTTCGTAACTCGTTGTCGATCGGATAAGCCTGTTCTTCTCAGAACAGCTGTCTTGACTGCATCGTAAGTCTTTTGGTCGTCAGGAAGATCTAGAATGTCATCAATGTCATCGATGACATTTAGCGGAAGCGCGGAAACGACAAGGTGGAACTTGGTCTTTTCGGACCTAATACCACGCAAAGAAAATTGCGATTCTAGCTGACCAAACCAAGACTTAGGATTAGTCTCGCGAAAAGGTGCGATAGGAAGCGTAACTGTGCCGATCTGAACGTCAGAATCTACACGATCAGTTTCCATAGCGAGCAAAATAGCGAGCCAGCAAGATTAAATCGGAAAATGAAAAGTGAAAATCAGACGGGTTAGCGAAAAAATGTGGCCAAATCTGAAAAGAAAGGTTAGCGAAAACTCACCGGATAATGACCAAAATTCGGGGTCACCAATAAAGCGCGAAGCGGGATCGGTACGCTTTAGAACAAATACGCGGATATAAGGCCAACCTCCGGTGAGTGGAGAACACCAAAGGTAACGCTAGGAAAAATTTATTAAGTGGGCGAAAGGCTATCTAGTGCTAAAAATAAGGCACCGAAAGATAGCTAGCTAGGGAAAGGTGTGGTCGCGTGCGCGGAGAGCAAAGATGGCCGCGGAGCCGAGGAGCGTCGCGCCGTTCGAAGGCGGATGCTATGTTGACTCAAACAAACGCGAGCAACGTTCAAACAGGCGAGCGGCTATTTTGCTATGTACATCGAGAAAATATAATTTTGTGATTTTGTAATATTTTACGCAGCATGCGGCAGCCAAACAGGGGAATCTCCAGGTCACTACACATCTTTAAACATGGGGACAGGGGTCTGCCTGCAAATTACAGGCCAGTTAGTCTGACGAGTGTAGTAGTCAAACTCCTCGAGAAACTGGTGAGAGATTCATTGGAGAGTCATCTGAGTAGATTTAATCTACTTAGCAATGTACAACACGGATTCCGGAAGGGATTTTCGTGTCTGACGAATCTGTTGGTAGCTCGCGAAAATTGGGTGGATGCAGTGGATAACGGCACACACTGGACGTGCTTTTCGTCGACTTTTCGAAGGCATTTGACAAGGTACCCCATTTGAGGCTCGCGCAAAAGCTGTCCTCCTACGGGGTATCTGGCCGCGCCCTTCATTGGGTGACTGCCTTCTTGGTGGGTAGAGAACAATGTGTACGGGTAGGCCGGGGTCTATCATTTAGGCAATCTGTCCTCAGCGGCGTGCCGCAGGGCTCGGTCCTTGGACCGCTGCTGTGCCCTATCAATGAGAATAACCTACCCACGATGCTTGAGGTACCATCGCTGCTATTGGCTGACGACCTGAGGCTGTGGAACGTTGTCGATGTTCTCAGGTGTACCGAAGCTATTCAGCGAGCATTGGATAAGCTTTGGGACTGGTCTACTTTATGGTTACTGCACATAAATCAGGCAAAGTGCTCCGTTCTTCGAATTGGAGGAGGTTGCCCTCCTGCGAAGTACTTGGTCGGTGGGGTCGAACTCCCCCGTGTCATCTAGCCAGTTGACCTAGGCGTCGTACACTCTTCGGCTTTACACTCCGGCGACAACTGGAAGAAGGCCGCAAGCAGAGGTTTCCGCATGTTGTGGTTAATCCGACGTTCTTTCGGAGTCTTGACGGGCGGCATCTTTACGAGGCTGTTCTCGGCTTTCGTTCGCCCTCATCTGGAATACTGCGTCCAGGCTTGTCCGCCCTGCCTCGTCCGGGACAAAATGGAGCTAGAGAGGGGTTTACGAGTGGGTACCAGGTTAGTCGAGGGATTACTGGGACGGACGTACCCCGAGCGTCTACTTAGTTTGGGAATGCATTCAATGCACTACCGAAGGCTTAGAGGAGACCTAATCCTAACCTACCGTATCTTGACTGGGAACGTTGATCCAGATTTATCTTGGCTATTCAGTCCCGCTAGATTGTCTGTTCTACGCGGTCATTCCTTGAAGCTGGACAAACCGCGTTCCGATCGGATTAAGGCGGAAATCCGGCTGTCACGCCGAGTTATCGACCGCTGGAACATGCTTCCGGAAAGTGTTATCAGGGAATCTACGGTTAAGGGTTTTGAGCGGCAACTTGACGCTCTTGGGTGGCAACACGAAACCTTTTCCATTTTCTTGAGTAACTCGCATCTTCGTACTTCGATTTTCTTTTCTCTACTTTTCTTCACGTATTGGTATTATTTTCTTATTTAAGTGCACTTCCCTATTCTGTACCTTCGATTTCTCTTCCTATCCTTTGCTTACTTCACGTGACTGCCAAAGCAGGGACTGCTAGGGCAGGAAACGTGGGCATTAAATGGTTGGCCAGGGTGCGATACGGGTGTTTCCCGTTTAGATCCATCAATAACTGATCACTTCATCAATTC